AAATCAATCCATGTTCGACCAACTAATAAGTCGCATGGTTGCGTTTCATCTCCTACAATTAGAACTGTAATGTCCTTTCCTTCCACATTATCAATCTCTAAGTTAACAGTTACTTTTCCCAATGTTCTAGCAGCTGGTTTCTTCTGGTTCCCAAAGCCAAACAATTCTTCCACATCAGGTTTTGGAATAAGATTCAGTCTCTTAGCCGCAGACTGTTTCAATAAACACGAACTAGAACCCGTATCTATGATTGCAGTAATTTCTTCTCCATTATTGATGCGAGCATACTTTAAATATACAGCTGGTGAAACACCTGAATTCTGGTCCACGGATAAATTATTTTTAACATTTGTCAAGTCTGGATTCTTAGACGTACACCTTTTAAAAGTATGACCCTTTTCATTACATTTCCTGCAAATAATTTCTTTTTAGGCTGAGGACAATCCGTCGCTATATGTCCATAATCATTACAATTGAAGCATTTTGGCTCACCCTTTTCATTGCGGATGCCAGAATTATATTCCCTTTTCCTTTTGTCTGTTTTATAAAATTTATCTCTCAGATTGTATTTATTATCAAAACTGTTTTTAAAACCCACTTTGAAATTACCATCTGTCTGCATGGAATCGTTAACATTTCTTTGTCTTGAATACTGATTATAGGATCCTTCATAAAATTTAGAACCAGATTTGGGCTTAGAATTATTCCTAAAAGTTTTATTTCCTACTTGAAGTACTTTTATCCCTGCCCGAATATTTTCATATTCATCTAGTTTTTCAGCCAAATCTTCAGGATTAATGAATTTAGACCAGTCATCAATGAAATGGTCTCGGATAGCAGCGGGGACCCTCTTCTTTAATTGATGAGTAATAATAAGTTGTTTTAAAGAGTCAAAATCTGTTACATTTAATCCAGCAAGCCACTCTTCAAAATAATTTTTTAATTCAAACGTGAAGTCCTTCCACGTATTACGCAATGTTTTAATATGATCAACGAACTTTTGCCGAAACTGTTCAAGGCTTAACTTAAATTTTCTCAGTAGCAGTTGCTTAACGTGCTTATAGTCGTTAGCTTTTTCTTCTGATTCACGGGCAATTAATTGAGTTCTTATTCACGGGCAATTTATTTCATAAGGCAATAGACCCAACAGCGGGAGAAACCCAGTTTTGTTCTTCTAACCCAATACGTCGTGCCTGTCTCTCAAATAAAACTAGAATAAAAACTTATATCACCTTCATTCAAATCATACTTATGCATTAATTTACTCATATCACAAATATTACTTCTACTACTAACATTAGAAGGAACAGAATCATTTACATTACTACTTCTGATTTCCGCTTCTATTTTCAATTTTTCAAGTTCAAATGCTCATTGCTTATCTTTTTCTTTTTCTAAAATTTCTAACTTTTCCCTGTCTAAACGATCATTTATAATTCTATCTAGCATTTGTTTAGTAAAGTCTTCGTTATAATTCTTACTATTCAAAATCATATCTCTTAAGCCTACAATTTTAATATCAGAAGGGACATCTACATCAAGTTCCAAAGCAAGTTATTTTAAATCACATTTTTTGCCTCTTGCCAAATAAGCCATCTTCAATTTTCAAATACTAATACAATAATTATACTTAAGTTCTTTCCGTTTAATACTTAGACATAACATAAACAGTTTATAAATTCACGTACCTTTCTACTTTCAGTTTTGGTGAGCTTCCGCATTCAGTTTAGGCTTAGCGTACATTAAGGCAATACGTTGTTAAATCTAGATAATAATTCTAGTTTATCCCACTTCTGAAATGTTAGCATTTAATTAGTTTATTAAAAACACATTCCGTCAAACATTAATTGTTAAATACTTGCTTTATTCAGAAACATTACCGTCAACATTACTGCTCAAAAAACATTACCGTTCAAATTATTATCGTTCTGAAAAAAAACTGTTGTTGCCAATCGAGAAAATACATTTTAAATAAAATTAATACGTTGTGTTTACATGCTGGAGCCTCAATTTCCGTGATTCAACCATTATGGCCAATCTTCCTAGAGGTTGTTTGGCCGTATTTTCCTGCAACGAAAAATATCTAACGGAAACGTGGACATACATTTTTTAACTCATTCGTCTGCAATTTAAGAAAATATCAATGTTGCCAAAATATTAAAATTTAATATTATATTTTATAAACAAATACTATCAGATTTGGGGATAAATCTGTACAGCTCCCATTGTAAGAAGAGCCGTGATGCAGACATTTCTGTACTACAAACAAGTAGCCCTCTCTGTCATTAAAATGGCCCTAGAAAAATTCCTACCAAAATTACATTATGCAAATATGGAAGGGGATATATCTTATTGGCTTATATATAATTTTGAAAGGGAATACCAAAACGTAGGTGAGCAGTGAAAAACCTTAATCTAATTTAGATCTGCTGAATAATCATGTACATAGTCCTGCCTTTTTTACTTCCTTGTTCGAAGTAAAAGAAGTATTGTAATCACTAAAAATTCCGGGTATCGTATTTCAATGAAAATATCCATTTTGACCGCTATCGAATGCAATTTAATGATTTTTTGCATGAAATCTGTGCGTAAGGACAGAATAAGGAACTCTTTTTCCCCAAACGAATTTTGAAACTTATTTTAAAATGGATTCAGAAGAGATTTTTTCTTGGTGTCTGTACATACATACGTATGTAAATATCTCGTGTAACTCAAAAAAGAGTAGCCTCAGAATGTTGAAATTTCGTGTATAGGACTGCTAAAATATGTAGTTGTGCACTTCCCTTTTTGGTTGCAGTCGGCCTCACCAAAAGTTATACCTACTCTAGTACTTGGCTCAGTCAGCTCAGTATTTTTTATTCCTATATGTTGGTAAATTGGGCAATTTTTGCTTTAGAAATGCTTAAATTGTGTTGTTCTTATCTTCTAGTTAAGGTTTTTATACATTTAGTTAATCTGTATGCACTAGTTATAGAAATATCAACAATTTAAAAGTTGTGTAAGTGAAGCTAAGCCTAATTTTTGTTTACCATAGCAGCTATATTTGCTTACATTTGAAACTTAGGAGAATTGTGAATTCAGTTTCTGCAAGTTCAATGTCTTTTTGCCGAATGGGACTAAAATTAAAATTTTTGTGCACCAAAAAATCTGCCTTGTTGCCTGCTAGCCAAATTGCATGTTTTTGCATAGAAACTAATTTTAATTGCAATTTTTTTATTGTTTTAACTTTATTTGGTGTTTTATTTATTTATTTATTTACTAGCAGCTTCGCTGCCAGCCTTCGTCTGGCTTTTAAATGTACCGGAAAAATGGCTGAAGGGAACACCAAACATTAAATTTAAAAACTGCATAGAATTTTACTCTGCAGAACAACTTCATAAACGTAAAAGTTATTACGTATAACAAAATTACAATGAAATAAGCAATATCCCTTAATACAAATATTAATTATCCTAATAAATAAATTAACCAACTTCCCTTTGCAAAATCGTAAGAACTCAAATGGTATAAAAGAGGTTAAGAACTTTGTTTCCTAAAAAAATCAATCAAAAGTTTTCAATATCTTAAAAACAGTGAAATGAGCAATAAATAACATAAAAGAATTGAAAAAAAAAAAAAAAAATTCTGAAAAGCAAAGTATAATTAATGATATTTTATCTTATATTTTCAAGAGAAAGAAATTACAATGAAATAAGCTATATCCCTTAATACAAATATTAATTACCATAATAAAAAATTAATAAACTTTCTGTTGAAGGAAAAAAATCATGCAAAACTTTTCAATATCTTACAAACAGTGAAATAAGCAAAAAATAACATGAAAGCAACTCAAAAAACATAAAATTCCATGCAGAATTTTACTCTGCAGAAAAACTTTAACAAAAAAAAAAAAAAAAAAAAAATCAATACAAATATATTATATATATGTATATAAATGACAATGAAATACGCCAATCTCTTAAAAACAGTTACATAAGAAATATGAGGAAAAATTGTTGCCAAACCCATATTTCTAAAAGAATGAAACTAATCATCAAAATGATGTGATTTCATGAAAAATCTATCAACAACAATAAGACGGGAAAATTGTTGCCAAATTCACATTTTTAAAGATGTGAGAAGTGTACTCGGAAGCTTCATTTAAAAAATCTTTTAAAAATACAAAATATTATCATTTTTCCAAAATTCTTTTTGTAAAAGCAGTCGCAATGATGAAAGTTTAACGTGTCCAAAAATCAAAGAAAAATAAACTGTACATTTTTAAAAATAAACTTTTTTAGAAAAAAATCCCGTTGAAAAGGTGTTAAGCTCCCTTTGTTAAATAAATTCGTATTTAATCGATTTATTGAAAAACGAAATTTATTTTAAGTTCAATAAATAGCTAAGTGCCAACGTTTCATGATGATATGAAAATGGAGTGTGTAGAGTAAAATCTCGCTTTCCTATAACCCATTATGTCTCAAAATGACGCGATTTCGTCACAAAACATAAAATAAAAAAAAATTCAAATTCGAATTTCAAAAAAATCGCTTCAAGGTGCACTGGCTCTTGTCTGGATGTACCTATGTATCAAATTTCGTAGCCGTGGGTCTATTAGCTTACACTCAGCGCGAACGAAAGACACACACAGACAGACTCTTTATTTTATTATATGTAGAGATTTATTTTCTATATTTTCAATTTTTAATGAAGATATTTTGAGGTTTTACATATTTTTGCCTTCCAACAAACTGAGAACAGTATTAATTGAAAGAGAAATATATCTCTAATGAAATTCAAGGAAATAATTTCAAATGAACTGCAGCAAAAAGTGCATATAAATTTAATATTCCATACAAGGAAGTCGTGGTGTACACATCAAATTTTTTATTTATGTTATTTAAGGGCTTAATTAGATATTGAATAATATTTTCTCCTCCATTCTTGCAATGAATATTGTACTTCTTTGATGAATAAAGTCATGTAAGTGACTATAGTATTTTTGTTTACTTATTTTTCAGCCTTTTTGACAGTTCATACTTAACAGTGAAATTGTGGCTGAAAACGACAGTCAGGTAATATATTCTCTTATACTTTAAAATTATTTTTAGATATATGTGTGTATATAGAATATGTGTTCTTATACAAATACTGATTGGCATTAATTATCAGGTGATTAAATTTCAGTTATATATATAGTGGTGTATATATATATATACCACTGTTGTAACATTTCATAATAACGAGTTGCCATAGCGACAATAAGCTCAGAACAACAATAATTATATTTTGAGTTTGTATCATCATGATAAGTTTCTTTCCTGTAGTTAGATATTTTTAACTGGTAAATAAATAAATATTTAAATACTAATTGAGTCATAATTTGAATACTTATCTCTATCTCCCGAATTGGTGATCCGGATGTGATGGAGACATCATGTTATAATGATGACCAAATGGCAAAAATTGAAACCAGTTAACAACTTTGATGATTGCCAATTCTTAAAAAAGTAAGATCAATAATCTATCTTACAATTTTTAACTGCTCAACTTTTGTATGTTCTTTTGCATTTAATTCTGTTCGGTAAGTTAAAGTCTTTTTTAAATTAAATGCTGCATAACAGCGTAGCTCAAACTATTGCTCTCATATTGCTTTCTGTGCACCTTCATTTTGGGAAAATAACCCAGAATTATGGTTTATGCAATTAGAATCAAATTTGAATTTATCTGATATCACATCAGATCAAACAAGACTTCACTCAGTTGTAGCTGCATTAGATGCAAAAGTTCTGTATTCTGTTCATATGTATCTGATATTGTGTATAATCCTCCGACAACTAGCATGTGTGCTCAACCGAAAGCAAGAATTTTAGACCAGTTTTCTTAATCAGAGAACTCTAAAATGCGCATAAATTTACAAGAATTACAGTTGGGAGATAAAAGACCGTCACAACTTTTATTTGAAATGTGCATTTTATCAGCCGGTAACATAAGCAAGGAAATATTAAAATCTATTTGGCTTCAAAGACTCCCAATTTCAATTCAAAAGATATTATCAGTGTGCAGCGATACATTAGATGGTTTGCCTAAAAAAGCCAATAAAGTTAAATGAGATATCTGGTTACCCACCTGAAACAGCTGTAGTAAGTTGTGATGCACTTTCTCTTCAAACTTCAAAAGATGAAATCATGGCATTGAAAGCAACAGTAGAGCACACATCTCGTAGTAAATTTCAGCAAAGTAGTGAAAGCAGAAAGAGAAATTCTAGGAAATCAAAAGGTCAAAGTCAGTATGTTAAATCACAAACTCACGATTTGTGCCGGTATCATAGCCGTTTTGCTCAAAGCTAAAAAATGCATTTCCCCATGCAAATGGCAGGAAAACTTTCAGGCCCCTCTGTATTAACGGCAGTGGTTGGTAGTCAAGCGCACTGCCACTTATTCATTTTGGATAAAAGTACCAGTTTTTTATTTTTGATTGAAAGCGATGCTGCAGTTAGTTGCATTTAAAAAATTTACAAAATGTAAGATGACTCAAAATTTGATTTTATATGCTGCCAATGGTTCAAAAATATGTAATTATGGCACAAAATGCATCAAACTTGATTTTGGTTTAAGAAGATGATTTCCCTGACATTTCATTATTACAAATGTATCCTAACCTGTCATCAGGGCAGATTTTTTAAATAAATTTAGAAATTGAAAATCCGTTCTTTGGGATTAACTCTCATTCATGACAACGCTTCTTATAATGAAAATTTAAACAAATTTCAGGAATTATTCATAATGTACAACATTTTATCAAAACTAAGGGCCTTCCTGTCTATTCGAAAGTGAGATCTCTATCATCTGAAAAATTCGAAGCTTTAATGGAACAAACATTCATTCGGCCTTCGAAAAGTCCTTACGCTAGTCTTATATATTTTGTCAAAAAACAGAATGATGATTGGACAATTTGTGATCTTCAAGAAATTGAATTCCATTACCTTGCCTGATTGTACCACACTGACTTTGCCACACATGCATGACTTTTCTCAATGTTTAACAAAAAAAAAAATATATATTTTCAGCTAAATAGATCTTGTCAAGGCTTATCATAATATTCCAATACAGCAATCTGATATAGAAATGACAGCGGTAATTACTCCCATTGGATTATATGAGTATACAAACATGACATTTGGATTAAAAAATGCAGCTCAAACATTTCAAAGATTTATTGATCAAGTTTTACGAGGCTGTTATGCTTACCTCGATGATGTACTCATAGCATCAGAAAATGAAAACTCGCACAAAGCCAATTTAGAAAAGGTGTTTGAACAATTGAAGAACTATGGACTTAAAGTTTATTTATCTAAATGCATTTTGGGGCAAACAAAAACTTGATTCGTAGGTTTTCTAGTTTCTTCAGAAAATATATCCCCATTACCAGGAAAGACAAAAGCTCTACCCAAATATCCATTATCTAAGACTGTAAAGGATCTAAGGTGATTTCTTGCAATGCTTAACTTCTACCATTGTTTTATATGAAATGCAGCTGAGACGCAAGCTTGCCTCTATGATTTGGTAAAAGGAAAAATTAAGAAGGGCATGTCAGAACTTACATAGGATGATAAAAACAAAAGATGCATTCAACTTATGCAAACAATTATTATCCAATGCTACTATGTCTACACATCCTGTTCAAAATTCGAAACTTTCATTAGTTACCAATGCTTCAGAAATAGCTATTAGAGCTGTATTACAGCAACATATTGGTGATAAGGTTGAACTCTTAGGATTTTATTCCAGAAAATTAACATCTTCTGAATGGGAGTACGGCACTTACGATAGAGAGCTTTTGGCAATATATTCAGCAGTTAAATTTTTTTGGTACATGGTCAGAGGTCAAGATTTCTTGTTATTCACTAATTGCAGACCTTTGATTTATGCTCTACAACAGATACGTGATAAAGCTACACCTCATCAAATTCATCATTTGGAATTTATATCACAATTGACTGCCAATATGAGATACATTTCTAGAAATAATATTACAGTAGCGAATGCTTTTGAGAGAATTTCAGAAATTCAATTGCCTCAAGTTGATTATGATGAAATGGCCCGCGCTCAGGAACATGATAGCGAGTTGCAAACCCTTCTCAAATCTGATACTGTTCTTGTTTTTAAACAATTAAATTTCCCATTAGCAAATCTTCCAATTTATTGATATATCTTCAAAAACATTCGACATTATGTATTTAAAAAGTTCAGATTTCAAGTTTTTGAAATGTTACACAACTTATCTCATCCAGGAGTAAAAGCAACTACAAACCTAATAAAAACTCGATTTATATGGAAATCACTCAATATTGATATAAAGAACTGGTGCAAAAATTGTATAATGTGACAAAAAAATCTAAAATTCATTGGCACACTAAAAGTCCTCTTGCTACATTTTCATTACCTGATGTTAGGTTCAGCCATATACATATAGATATAATCGACCCACTTTCACCATCAAAAGACTACAGATATATTTTAACTTGTATAGCTAAATTCACTAAGTGGCCGGAAGTATAGTTAAATTCACTAGGTTTTCCAATGCCTAACCAAACTGCTGAAACTGTAGCTGAGACTTTTTACTCTGGGTGAATTGCTAGATTTGAAGTACCTGATACCATAACAACTGATCGTGATACCTGATACCAACTTCGAAAGTGAATTGTTTAGATTACTCACAAAACAAGAACTACTGCCTTTCATCCAAATTGTACCAGTATTGCATTGACAATTAAAAGCATCTGTTAAATCTCATGTAGCAATTAGATGGAGTGAAGTGTTGGCATCAGTTTCGCTTGGAATGAGTTCATGCATTAAAGAAGATATTGAATCTTCACCAGCTGAAATGTTTTATGGAACTGGAAATGGAAATGTTAAATTTGCTGATGAATTTTTTTTTTTTTTTCCAATTCTTTTTCAAATGTGATTCCTGCAAAAGACTTTGTTGACAATCTTCATTAACAGATGCAATTTAGTTGACCATTCCCTGCTTTGTGGCACTCTTCAAGCAGCATGTTCGTTCATGATGATTTACTTACAAGCTCACATGTCTTCCTTAGATGAGACTCTGTGCGAAAACGTATAGAGCAACCATATCAGGGACCATTTAAAGTATTAGCTAGGACTGAAAATTTTTTTACAATTCATATAAATAGCAATAAATCTACAGTATCCATAGATCACTTTAAGCCTGCATACATACTAGTAGACTCTCGAGAAGAAAATCATGTAAGTAACAACAAAGAGTCTGAACCTGATTCTAGGGTAATTCAAGTGTTCCCAACTTTCACTAATTCTGGCAGACAAGTGAAAATTGTGCAAACCATACCAAGCTTCTTAGATCGTCCTCAGGACTGGAAGGGGACCACTGTGGCAACATCGCATAGTAAAGAATTGCCATAGTGACGATAAGCTCGGAACAACAATTATGTTTTTGACTTTTGAATTTGTATCATCATGATAAGTTTCTTTCCTGCACTTAGATATTTTTAACTGGTAAATAAATAAATATTTAAATACAGTACAAAGTCCGTAATCCGGACATCCATTATCCGGAATGATCTATATTCTGGACCTCAAAGCCACAAACTTTCGCATGCGTGTAAAGCATTTATGCATGCGCTTTTAATGCGCACGTCCGCTACGCATGCGCGTAAACCGTTTACCCATGCGCACTTCCGATAGTGAAGAAAGTGACAGAGAGGTTATTGAAAACGAAAAAATTTTGATTGACGGTATTCTCGACACAGCAATTACAGGACTTGAACAGTGTAACTTTGTAACTGAACAAGAAATTATGTCTATTTATAGAATTAAAGAGAAAGTATTAGCACAAAAAACGAAACAACTTAAACAACTTACATTGAAAGAAATGTTTAATAAAGTAAACAAATAAATATTAAGCTTTTTTCTTTTCTTTTCTTGTAAATTTTGATACCCTTTAGATCATAATTGCTCTTTATTTCATAAATTACGGTTTCATATTTTTAATTGTATAATTTCTGTATGCCATCTTATCAGATTTAAGTTGATGA